AGCCAGTCTCCAGATCTCAACCCCATGGAAAACCTTTGGATTTCAGTCCTGGAGTGGCCTGGCCAGTCTCCAGATCTCAACCCCATGGAAAACCTTTGGAGGGAGTTGAAAGTCCGTGTTGCCCAGCGACAGCCCCAAAACATCACTGCTCTAGAGGAGATCTGCATGGAGGAATGGGCCAAAATACCAGCAACAGTGTGTGAAAACCTTGTGAAGACTTACAGAAAACGTTTGACCTCTGTCATTGCCAACAAAGGATATATAACAAAGTATTGAGATGAACTTTTGATATTGACCAAATACTTATTTTCCACCATGATTTGCAAATAAATTCTTTAAAAATCAGACAATGTGATTTTCTAGATTTTTCCCCCCATTTTGTCTCTCATAGTAGAGGTATACCTATGATGAAAATTTACAGACCTCTCTCATCTTTTTAAGTGGGAGAACTTGCACAATTGGTGGCTGACTAAATACTTTTTTGCCCCACTGTAGCTGAGCACTTTTGTCTGTGGGCAGGCTCTATGACAGTCTGTCATTTTATACTGCTTTCTCTTGATCCTAAATGAAATCTTAACTGAACATTCTGGATTTTGAAACTAGTAATCAGACAAGCTCTGCAACTTCCTTCCTTGTGTATTTTATACTTAGGCAATATTCAGAGTATTCAGACAAAGGGCTAAAGCAGAGAGAGATCCAGTAAACAACTTCATACAGCTGTGTTTGAGGAAGGCATGTTAATTTCCTCATTGCATTCTAGGCTCTGGAATTGTCCTCACTTTGGGCAGTGACAGTAGAGACAGTCACCCATTATGCACAAAGCAAGATTGGACGTGGCTTGCAGATCAGTTATTTTATCAAGCTGTCATAAGCTCTGTAGGCTTTGTTAAGTCTTGAGAAAACAGTATAACAAGAATTATGATAGTACTCCTTGACTCTCACAAACTTATTTGAGCCAGCCAGCTAAATCTAATATTGAAGGAGGGCAATGAGCAAGAGAAACAATGCTTAGTCAAGACTTGGTCTCAGATCCTCCAGCTTAGCTCCTGTGCTGACCAATGCCATAAGACTTCAGCCCATTCTCAGCCAATAGTAGCAGAGATGTAGCAGTGGCAAGACACTGTTGAAGTCTGCTTGCTCTCTTCCATTTCTGGCTTCTTGTACAACTTGATTCTAAAATGTCACATCTTTCTTGGGGTGGGGGAATGGTCTATTATTGGATTGGGCCAGGAACCCTTGTGCTGTACCCAGAATGGTATTTGGGGCTGCTCAGTGCTTGCAGCATTAAATGGTGACTTGCACTTCAGAATATGCTGTTGAGGATCAGGTGGGCATACAGCACTTTTCTATCCTCTTATACACAAGGATGTCAGTGAATTGCTCCAGGTTTAGCTGCCAGGTACTGAGGGGGCTTGTGAGTGTGTGCTTTTGCCTTATTAAACAATAAAAATAACAGTGGTAATAGTTATACAATAATGGTATAAATAAAAGAATATAAATGTTAGATTAAAAATAAATTAACTATATGATCAAAATTAGCAATTTACAGTATAAATACTTTTTTTTGTTGGTGGTGCCTTTACATCAGTCATGGCTCCTGGCGGCTGCCTGCACAAGTCTGTGCAATTTTTTTGTCAACATTTTTGGAAGTGGTTTGTCCTTGCCTTCTTCCTAGGGCTAACATGAAGTGACTGGCCCAAGATCATCTGGCTGGCTTTAAGCCTAAAGCAGGATTAGCACTCATGGTCTCCTGGTGTCTTGCCTAGTGCCTTTAACCACTACACAAAACTGGCTCTCAAATGCTATATATGATCTATAAATAAATAGCATGAATAAAATTGAAATTAAAAAGAATAAGTGATTAATCAAGTAACTTGCTCATACCCAATGACCAAGGCAAACCTTTTTCAGTTTATACCTAAACATTCTTGCAGTATTGACATCTTTCAAATTCCTTGATTTATAATCAGGACAGGATCTTTAAATACAGCTGGATCTATACATTGTGTTAAGCCAGAGTTCACATAAACAACTAGCTAATGTTAATTCAACACCCTATGCCTAGATAGCAAAGCAGTGTGTAAAACTATCTTACAGTTGTTTGCAGTAGCTGCTGAATTAAAGCAAAACTGTCAATGCTTAAGGGCCTTGCATGGTTAAAGTGCATCCTATAGTATTAGCTAATTGCACTTTTTTCATCAGCTGACTTAGTTCTGTAGTTGTTTCCTTGATAAAATCATGTAGTTTCAGATGGCTTGTGCCCAAATAGAACTGAGGCAGAACAGAGGCAAACAGCAATCCAGATAAAATACTTGGAGGTGGGACAGAATAGAAAACAGACCACTTCCTTTTGAACAAGGCAGTTGAAGCTTTTAAGAACATTTCACTAATTTCCAGGCCATCGTTTGACCAGGAACACATGTAGATGGAATAAATTGAGCTTTAAATGAATTATGTTAGTCTAATAAGGCATATAATGCAGGAACCAAATTGGTGTTTGTAAGACTGGTTTTAGATGTTGTATTATTTTATTTTCTATTTATTTATTAAATCTGGTCTATCACAGAGTCATTGTTTATAAATGTGTAGGTATAGTCCTGCCTTAGGTACAGAAGCCAACTGGATGATTTTTGGGAAAGGCATTCTCTCTCAGCCTTAGAAGGCAAGGGCAAACCACTTCTGAAAAATGTCACCAAGAAAACTGCAGGGACTTGTCCAGGCAATTGCCAAGAGTCAACACTGACTTGAAGTCCCCCACCCCCTGCTT